TTATTCCTTTAATTAGATTATTTCTTACTCTTCTACCTTCAAGTTCACTGACCTTTTCTTCTACCACAAAGTTCATAGAATGAATATTTTCATTACAGTTACATTATATTCTCAGATATAAAATTTCCATTTGCTTCTTTTTTTTAAATTTGCTTCCATTTATCTTTGAGATTCCCCAGGTATGCTTTCATGTGACCAGTTTTTTCTTTAAATCCTTGAACATATTTATCTAAGTCCTTTAAAGTCTCCCATCTACTAATTATAAAATCTGCATTGTCTTAGGGTCAATTTTTAATTTTTTTTTCTCCCAACAGCAGCTGTTGTTGTTTGCATGGCTATTAGTATGTTAATGTATACGGTATACTGTAGATGCTATGATGCAGAAATCCTAAACTCTGTTATCTTACCCTGGAAAGTACTGAGTCTGGGCATTTAACTTGACTAAATTCAAACACTAAACTCTTGTTTTTTTCTATAATGGGAAGCAGCTGAAATCTCTGCTCAGTTCTTTCAGGATTCCAGCTGTTGCTTCCTCCCAGGGTTCACGGAGTTTCCCTAATCCATGCATGGCCCAGAAATCCACCAAGGATTTAGGTAATTTACAACCACATTTGGAGCTATTCTCTTTACAGGATTTTCCCTTTATTTTCCTGCAAGTCTAGTAATCTCAAACTTATCCTGACTCTTCAAACCAGCAAAACAAGAGATTTCTGCTGAGTTCTACCTGTACTACACAACGTGGACTGACTTCTGTCTAACCACTATCAACACAAGCCCAGTCCATTGTAGTTTCCTTCTTTCAAGGGTCAGTCCAGTTTCTCCGATTTCTCCCAGGTGATGGTTGCTCCAGGTGTTTTTAATATTTTGTCCAGAGTTTAAAATTGTTATCTATGGAAGATTTAATTCAACACAAACTACTCTGACACATAACACATAACCCTATGCACTGAGTTTTCATTTCTACAACTGGATGCATACGTGTGTGTGTGTGTGTGTGTGTGTGTGTGTGTGTGTTTTAAACTACTTACTCATCCTAGTTTAAAAATCTGTGTTTTTTAAAAAAATATTTTGTTATTAACTGACAATTTTTGTGATTCCACTTTTGGTTTCCTTAAACATTATAATAATTATCTCACACTGTACCTGTAATAATTAATTTTGTAAGGCCCTTGGAATTTAAAGCTGTTGGTTATTTTGTGTTCTAACTTTCTCCTATGGTTGTGAGCTTCTATGTTTGATTATTTGTGATTCTGCGATTTTAACCTGTGAAAAATCTAGGAGCCTAAAATGAAGATGCTGTCTTCCACAGATGTATATTTTAACTTCATCACTAGCCAAAGGATCCATACCAAGCRGGTATCATTTAGCTCCTGTCATAGCTTAATTGCTAAATCTCAAGTTTATATTCCTTACCTTGCCTTTAGCCCTAAGTTTATCAAATCAACATGAAAAAAATACATATATACCTATATATGTATACACACATGTACACATACTTTCCATGCAGGATAATCCCATCTTTCATCTATACTTACTCCTTACAGTTTAGTTTCAKCTATTTTTAGTTTATCCCTTGGGATTTAATTCCCTACAAGTTCACCAACGCAATAAAAAATCTGATTTGTGCAGAATCTAGTTCTTTTGGAACAACAAGGACTTTAAAAAATTCTAGTCTATATATTAGAGGATCACACCATTATACTAATACCATTATACAAAGGTTGTGTTATTCTGTTCTCTATTAGACTTTTACAAGCAGGAAAAAATTATTTCTAAATTTCATATTTTTCATATTGGAGCAAGTACTAACAATATTACCAACTTCCTTAAAACTATAGAAAACTTTTTAAGTAAAAGAAACCATATAACTCTGAATTTTGAAAATCAACCCACAAAATAAAAATAATTGCACTTGGCATTAGCACCAGTATGACTACAAACAAACCCAAATAGGTGCAATTCAATAAAAGAGCTCAGCAGATCCAGAATGTGCCTGTATTAATTTTCTTTTATCATGAAAAAATAGTATTTTAAACTTCTTTTGGAAAATTTTCAGACTTGTATAAATATATCAGCAGAATGGACCCTACTCTGAGAAACAGATTTCTAAAAGTAATCTTTTTTCATAGTTTGAAACAGAAAAAAGTTAACTGATCAAATGTCCTTGGCTGAATTAGCATGATGATGTACACTAATTACAAAGACTTAGCAATGATATTAGGAAGCTTTAAAAAGGAAAAGATGAAGAAGAAAAAAGGCACTTGAATGGGACAGTTATAACAAAAGCCATTATATTTGACTTTAATATTATGCAAATCTAAACATGGAATGTATTATATTTATACAGGATAAAATCTTTTCAAAACAGCAATGTTATCATTCAATTAATACATATTTACTGAGCAACTATTTTATTGATGACAACATTTAGTAACAATTTAAGGAACACAAGGCTAATTTACAGAACCAAGATTTCAATTTTGGCTTTTCTTACTTCAAAGTTCACAATTTTCTACTTAAACTCTTAAAAAAAAGTGAAGGTTTCATCTAGATAGAAAAATTATAATGCCCCTCATTTTACACAGAAAGAAAATTTTGAAGGAAAGAAAGAAACTAAAGAAACTAGGAGCAACAATTATTTAATTCATCTGTTTCCTCTGTTTTAAGGCAGTATTCAAAGGACCAAACAGAAGGTAGAGAAAACTATACTTATTGAAAACTTAGGTAATCTCTGAATCCTTTCAAAAGCATTTTAAGTAGTATGTGGTACATACTAAATAAATGTAAGATTTGAAAACTATGAAACATAAGAAAATGAATACCCCAAAACTCACCACATAATTTATGAATTAGATAATTACTACCAATTTGGTTGGGGACACACACACACCTCTTCTCTATCTCATCTGCTTCCCACAAAATACTACCATTAAACTGAATTTTGTATTTGTCATTCCCTGATTTTCCCCAAAATTATCTTTTACCACATACAAATATAACCCCAAAGTTTCTCCTTAAACTTTTCAAGATAATATGTAGTCTTTCAAAATTGGTTCTTTCACTTGTTATATTTTTAAGACTCATCCACCCATTCTACTGTCATTGGACATTTGCTCTTTCCTGTTTATTTTAGATTAATTTAGGCCATATATATTTTCACAAATACTCATCACTGTGTAATTTTTCCCTGTCAAGTTGTAAAGAAATTAGAATATGGATCACTCTTTCCCGTAAGTTATATTATACATTTAGCCTTGCAAGTGCATACCAAAAACTCATCATCTCAACACCATTTAAAAATTATTCCACCTTCATATGTAATTTGCCATTTGACTATCTGAACCACTCCCATGTAAGACCTCAGAATTTACTGCATTTAAAAGTAAAAGTTTACTAACAATGATAGCGATCCTCAACTAAAATGCTATTATGCTTCATGCATTATTAAACTGTGAATTTGACCTTAACTTTCTCTGTTAAAACATATTAACTCAGCAAACTTGCTATATATGTGAGACGTCAACCTTAAGATTGTATATTTAGTCACAAATAGTCACAATTGTGTATTTGTAGCTTGGTATATGAGAACAGTGATCTTTCTAATGCTATAACATTTTGGGGAATGAAAAACTTACTCCATACACCATCTTGAAGATGATTTCTCACATATATAGCAAACACTCAAACTCTCCTAAAATAACATGTACCATGTTAAGAAGACATTAAGAAAGTTCCACTTTTAATAGTTTTTTTTGGTTCTCCATTTCTACAACAGAACAGGAACACAATTCAGGAAATATCACCAGTTTGTTTTCAATTCCTACTCAGGGATTTTCTGTTACATTACCTTTGTAGCTTTGTATATATGATAACTGAATGATCTATCTAATGCTACAACAGGGAGAAAAGTTTTTGTAGTTAATTTTGGGGAATGAAAAACCTACTCCATGATCCATAACCTTTAAGGACATAAGTAAAACACATTTGTTGATACCTATGGGACAGCCTTTAGATGTTGAGTTTCCTTATTCATAAAGTAAGCATAATAGTTGCCCCTAATGGATAGGGGTTTTTTTTTTTTTTTGATCTAATGAGAAACTGTAAATAAATTGCTAAATACAGTACCAAGATAATAATTAAAGATTCCATAAATACAGATTATTGTTATTTCTGCACATCTTTTCATTTTCCCATCAATTTTCTATTTGATAGTAATATTTTCCCTGCTGTTTTACTTTGCATTTCATTCAACTCTGAAAATAATACAGGAATATGCTCCTCCAGGGGGGCAGTACCAAAGTCAGCCTGGGGGACAAGGAGCATCCAGAGGATGTACTGTTTTGTACTCCTCCCACTCCCCAAATTTGATTCTTTTTTTAAAAAAGTTATTTAGTGATTTAAAAAAAAGTTTTGCAGGGCAGTTAACTGCGTTTTAATTCATCTAAATATAGGATGCATGTAGGAGAGGAAGAACAAATGAATATTATCATTTGTTCTAAAGCCATTTTCAAAAATCAATTATGGGGTTGGATGAGAATTTGGAGATTACCCAATACAAATTTATTTTCATAAGTAAGAAAACTGAGTCTATAATTGACTTCGGGGATAATGAGAGTCTTGAGTGGAAACCAGGTTCCAAGATCCAGTTCCTGAAAACTTTCGAGAGTTTGTATTAATTCACTGTCCTAATCTAGGCAGCATAAGGCTTAACAGTCGTGTTTTAATCTACACCGTCCCATCTTCAATCAGTTAACCTATTTAAACTTCACATTAGGCATTATCTACATAGAGTCCACAACCTATACAATCTGTCAAAAGGCTTGGAGAAACAGAAGTAAACAAAGACTACATGATGAGTGCTGCTGGAGAAGAGGTAAATTAAGGGTACTGTCAACACAAGTTCATAGTCTTAAAACAGTAAAATGAAAAAAAAGGGCTATCGGGCCACATAATATCTACTCATAAAACAAATCAGCAATATCTGGGCAGGAGATACCTACGGCATTTCGAATCTCAGGGAGGCACCACCGCCGCTGGACAAAACGAACTAACCAGCTGCAGGAAACGCTGCAGCTGAAAAGCGCGGGCAAGCGGGCACTCTTGGTGTCACACCTAATGCGGTCCGCCGGAAACACCCTCCGCGCAATGAGGAATCCGAGTAGGTGCGAGGAAAGGGGTGCATAAGGTGTCTAGGCCCCAAACCCACATCCAGTCCCGCCGCGCGTAACACGGGACCCTCTCACTACTCGGGCCAGAGAAATACTCGAACAGAGGAGCAGCAAAACCATGCCTGTTCTTTCTGGAGCAATTCATCCTACATTTATAGCCGGACCGTTTAGGGAGGTGCTCCGCGTCTTATTTCCGGTGGCAGAGAGGCGCAGTTGCCATGGTAATTAGAGAAAGGCGAGGTCGGTCGGACTGCTGCGAGAGGGTCGCGGACCGGTGGAGAAAACGGGCTGTTCTTCCTCGTTTATGAGCTGGAATTAGGTAGCAAACAGCTCGCTGTCTCTGTCTCTTCCCTCCCTCTGTCCCTCTCCCTGCGGCTTTCTCTTCTCCCGCGTCTTGTGCGTCTCTGTCCTCCTAGCAGTTGGTCTACGCATGTCCCTAAAATGTACATACACATGCAGTTTTATGCCTGGAGAAATCTGAAAACAGAGATTGCTCGAGATTAGCCTAGACCGTGCTTCACTGCGGAGGGACGGTGGCTGCATGGCTCTGTTTCCACTTGGCCCTTGAGAAGCCCGAGGCGCTTGTTAACAGTTTATTTTTCCTGCTATTGTGTGCCTGGTTATTTATGGAGCCGTTTGCTGCAGTGTACTCTCTAGGCCCCTGCCTGGGTCTCGGGCTGGAGTTTTAARTAAAGGAGGTTTCCAAGCCTGAGGGGTGCAATTATATATTTATTTAAGCTTCAGTTTAGTCTCTCTTCACAGAAAAGGGGAGAATAGAATTCTGGAACATTTCCGCCGTGGGATTTCCAAGTGAGAGACTCATCATATTTGGAAAGAGTATTTTGAAGAAGATCCTAAATTTTATTTTATTTTTCATTTAAAAATTGCTTGCTGCAAAGAGAACATTCATTATTCCTTGTTGGAACAGTTTTCTTTTACATTTGTGTGAAGGTGCGTGCTCGCATATGTGTTTAAAACTCTGATGCTTAATTATAGTGATACCAATTTGCAGTAACCAGACTGTGACGCCACATCCCTATGGGGTCCTTCTAAATCTGGTGTAATATGAAAGTGTCAGGCAGGCGGTCTGTGTATTATAAATAGGGTACTTCATCCATGATAAGCGATTATTATCTTTCTTTCCCAAGTGTAAAAGACCTATATAATTCAAGAAGGTGCCAGTGATTTAGGCCCCCTGAGTAAGAATCCAATGAGTCCTGAAGGGGACCCTACCTGTGTCATTTTATTGTTGAACTTGAAATTTCAATTTATTACGTTGAAATGTATTTTTAGAAGTCAAAGCTGGATRAAGTAATGTTGGAAGCTGTTAGACCACCAGTACAATTTAGTACCTCATAGTAGCCATTGTTAATAAGCCTTCATTCACATTAACAAAGAGTAAATTGTTTCTGAAATTTACTGCCTTTCRCTACTTACAGGCGAAGTGACATCTCTGTCYCTCYATTTCTTCACCTGTAAAATGGACARAAGTAGGGGTAAAGTAAGATGTGTGACAGTTCATTAAGTCTTATGAGCAGAGGTGCTGTATAAACCCAAAATATTATTAGTAGTAAAGGAACACAGTAAAGCTCTGTGGTAATGCTATAAATGGGACTGTAAAAATTCAGTTATTTTTTTTGAAATTCAGTTCTTTGAAATAAGGAGCTGCATTATTGAGATGTTAATGAAATGATTTGSTTGATCCTGCCATGGAGGATGGGTGCCAAGTGCTTTCTGTAAAAAAATCTCATTATTATGGAGTTTCACATTTTTGTTATRGTTATTTACATATTAGGGATTGAATTCAGAGGCACTTGACCACTGATCTACATTCCCAGCCCTTTTTAATTTTTTATTTTGAAACAGGTTCTCACCAAGTTATTTAGGGCCCAACTAAGTTGCTAAGGCCCGCCTGGAACTTGTGCTCCTCCTGCCTTAGCCTCCCCACCTGCTTGGATTACAGTTGTATACCACCATGCCTGGCTGTAGTTTCATGTTATCTACAGTTTATTTAGCATTTACTAAGTGTCAGACAATGTTCTACATGCTTTATGTATGTTAACTAATATAATTTTCTCAATGAACCTATTAAGAGTCTCATCTGATGGATTGAGAGAATAGATGTATGCTTTTACTTTATCCTGATTCATCTTTTGTTGTTATTTTATGCCTTTGTTCTTTGGGCTGTTATTACATATTGGAGGGACAATTTGTGTGRGTGGGTGTTTATATGTGTGTTTAATTAGAAATCAACTGCCAAGGGTTTATTTTAAATTAACATTATAATTAGTCTACATACATACTATAACATCTTTTTCTTCTACATATAAAAACTTTAATATTGTGATCCTCCCACACACTAGAAAGGTGTAATGACATTTGCATTTTAGGTGATTAATATTGACTAAAACAATTTTGAAATTATTTTCTAGTAGAATGGCCGTCAGTCCAGGAAGTGATGCGGYTTTTACTAGTCAGAAATCCACGCTTTCAGAGAATCCTCGAACAAAGAAATTTCCACTAACTGAAGAAGAGATATTTTATATGAATTGTAGAGCTGCCTACTTAACTATCTTCAAAAGCAGCTTAGAAAACATTATTTCTAAAGATCAACTTTGCCTAGGTAAAATTTTTTAACTTAAAAATGTTTTGYCTTATTTGTTGAATGTTGCTAGGTCAGAAAGACTGGAATTAGATTTACATTGTTAAACCATCTCAGTTTCATAATGAAGCTTGAGCAATAGAACTACAGTAAGGTATTATGGCATTTTGTTTAAGTTACATATACTAAGAACTTTAAAATAAAATTATGCAACCTAGATTGGTATCTTGAAARATTCCACCAACTACTACTTGCTTTCAAATGTTTTTTATTCTCATTTTGCTGCTTTGGAATTTATCACAGTAGAATTAAAACACTTTTGGCTTCTAAATYATTAGTGTAAATTTTGACCTATCCTGAGAAAAATATAAAAGGTATATAAAAGTGGGGCCAAATGACTTTAAAAGAGAACTATTTGGAGATAATTGAAATTTGAAAAGAGAATAATAATTTAATGTTTATTTTTTTTGTTGTTTTTGTCTCTTAGTGCTTCTCTTCATTGTTATATTTTAAAATTCCTTTGGTTACTAATGTCCCCCCAAATTGATGAATTTGATCCTGTTCAGGGTATCAAATGACATAAAGGTCCCTGGTCTCAACAGAACAGTAAACAATACTAGATACCCTGAYTACTCATGTCTGTTTCTTCAGTACTGATAACTTTTTGAGTAGAGAAAATGAGTTATTTTTTTCCATCTTTAGAAGTATTTACCTTAAACCAAAACTCTGACATATTTCTTGAATTTGTATATAATAAGATCTCTATTTAAGGAAATCCATTTTGGGGACATGAGAATTGAAGAGATTAAAATTTGTTTGATGTTTAAATAAAAGACATTATTTGTAAAATAGTTTAAATGCAAATACCCAGGATTAGCATGAATTTTAAAGTTATGAATTAATTTTACTTTGATTTACATAATTTTTAAATTGGTAAAATGTTCCATTTTGAATTTTAAATATTAGTGTTTAATTAATATRTGTTAATGCCATAAGAAGAGATCCAATTAATTTAAGTCCAATATGCCACTATTTCTTAAGTAATTGAGGTTTTTTTCCTTCTTTCAAAAAGAGGTTGAGATAATAAATCTGCTAAGTTTACAAGTTTAACATGATTTCCACAGCTATGGTATTTTGTTTGTGAATTAATGACTGTGTATTAAGGTACTGTCAGTCTTATGAAATTATCTGGGAAGATAATGCAGTTTTTGTCTCCTCAGTGGAATTGTCTTTTGGGTTTATGGTGGAATATTCTTTGTAACATTGTAATAATTGATTTCRTATAACCTAGTTATTAAAAAGGAGTAATGTGAACCAATGATGTCTCTTTCTTACTACTTTTAGTAATATCCTTCTGCCACCTAGCACATAATATGTGCTGATATTTCCATTTCAAAGTAAGATAGAGCAGTACCATTACCAGAGCTTTAGAAACTTTTTTGCCACTTTATAAATAATACAGGTATTATAGACTCATGTCAAAGCTTATTAAGCCCTGGCAAATGATCAGTATTTTGTCAACCTTTAAACATCTACAATTACATAATGTTTTCACTGTCATCAAAGTTAACAGTTAATTCCAACTAATTCTAAACCTCAAGATTAAAATTAGTAACAACTAGAATGTATCAGTTTCTTAGATGTGGGGATGTCTACTTAGTACATATTTTGGCATAATTAATATCATTTTGAGAAAATTGTTCTTTTGTAATTAACAGCACATTTTAAAAAACAATATATGTGGGTATATATGTATATATATATATAAATAACACATATATGTATATATGTATATTATATTTTTGTTACTGAAGATAGCAGCAGGTGTACTAAGCTGCCCCTTGTGGGAAAGAGTTACACATTAATTTTCCCAAAGCTGGACAGAAAATATTTTTTATCATGTTGATTTTGACCTGCAAATCACAACTTCATTTAGATCCTACTTGTATTTCCAATTTTTAAAGGGTAGGAGTTGGCTAGGGATGGAATCCTAAAACATAAATGTCCTTTTGCTGATTCTGTTAATAGATGAGTTATGGAATTGTCTGTTCATATAGGGGGCAAAATATTTATCTTTTGGTCCTAGCACAGCATGGTAATCAGGGATTTTGTCTATATCCAAAATAAACCTGTGGAAATAAAAAATATACATAGGTTTCAATGCTACAAATTACACAAAGGCATTATAGGTGAATGAAAAATGGCAGTTATTACCATTATAACTTCTGTTAGCTTTGAAGGTCACCTTTAGATTATCTTCTTGATTCTCCTTTTTTGCCAAAATTTAAATTATCTAGGTACAATGAA